GTAGCAATGGTGGTGTTAGTGTTGGTGGTGATGGTGATGGTGGTGGCGATGGTTGGTAGTGGGTGAGTGGTAGTGTGGTGGTGGTGGTGGTGGGTGTGGTGGTGGTTGGTGGTGGTGGATGATGATGTTAGTATGTAGTAGTCAAGGTGGTGTTTGGTCTTTTGGTGGTGAGTGGGTGGTGGTGATGGTGTGGTGGTGAGGTGGTGGGCCGGTGGTGTGGTGATGATGATGATTGGTATGTGTGGCGCACTGGTGGTGGTGGTGGTTGGTTTGGGCTGTGGTCGGTGGTGGTGTGTGGTGATGATGATGATGATGATGATGATGGTGGGAGGTGGTGGTGGTGGTGTTGGTGGTGGTGGTGATGGTAGTGGTGGCGGTGGTGGTGATGATGATGATAATGATGATGATGGTTGGGTGGTGGTGGTGGTGGTGGTGGTGGTGGTGGTGGTGGCGGTGGTGGTGGTGGTGGTGGTGTTGGTGGTAGTGGTGGCGGTGGTGGTGAAAAGGTAAGAAGCGAAGCGGTGGTGATCTATACATGTCCGGCATTCTATTCTCTGCTCTCTCTCTCTAGGCGGGAAGCAGACTCAAAAGCGATGTGCATTGCGGTCGACCGATCCATTCCAAAAGGCGCGCTCGATGAAAACCTCTACGACGCAATAGTCGACGACCTGATGAGAGAGCCGCATGCTCGCGCTCGACTCATTGTCATCTTCGCGTTTAAAACCGAGGCGAGTGGCGTCATGAAGGCGCTTCAGAGAGCGCGTGCCGAGGGCATGTTCACGTTGCTAGCCTCCGATGGCTGGGCGGATTTCGTCGATGAATTTCGTGGCGTCGAGGAGATCGGCTTCGGCACACTGAGTCTGAAGTCGTATTCGAACACGATACCGGAGTTCAACAACTACTGGCGCTCGCTGACGCTGAAAGACGGCTCCCAGAACCCGTGGTTCCTCGAATACTGGGAGTACTACATTCAAAAGTGCGTGCGACCGCCAGGCGAGAACAAAACGGCCACGTCCCCGTCAGCGAACACCGGCTGCTCGGCGAACACCGAGTTTCTGTTCGCTAATCACCCTGATGTTCTCGAGAATTCTATGATCAATGACGCTGTGTATGCGTTCGCATTCGCCCTAGACTCGCTCATCCAAGAGAGATGCGGCATGGTGAAGCACGTGAGAGACTGCATCGCCGGGCCTGCGCTGCTTCCATATCTACGCAAAGTATCGTTCGCCGGATCGAGCGGACAGGTGGAATTCGACCACACGGGCGACATCAAGGGCAAATACATGATCTCCGTCTACCAGCGATCCGACGAATCTGGAGAGAACGACTTCGTTCGATTCGGATCGTGGGACACAGTGACGCGCGACTGGAAGCTCTCGATCGAGAGAATACAGTGGCGCCGCGCGGCGGGGGATCAGTCGCTGCCGACGTCAGAGTGCAGCCGACCGTGTGCGCGGCGACATTCGGTGGCACTGCACGAGCTGCACTGCTGCTGGACGTGTATTCCGTGTCAGGTGAACGAGATCCTAGCGACGAACGACACCGGATGCCAGGCGTGTCCGCCATTTTCGTGGCCGGACGACGCCGACGACTACCGATGTGTGCCGATCCCTGACGAATACCTTCGCTGGAGCGACGGCCAGTCGATCGCCGTGTCAATCGCGGTCGCTCTCGGTCTTATCGCGTCGCTAGGTGTCGCCATCGTCTTCGTGCGGAAGCGCAATGAGAAGCTTATTAAGGCATGTAGTCGGGAACTGAGTGCGATCATGCTGGGCGGAATCGCGTTGAGCTACGTTATGACACTATCTTTCATCGCGCAACCGAGCTGTGGCATATGTTGGCTGCGCCAGATTGGCTTTCACCTGAGCTTCACATTGCTGTACGCACCACTACTGACGAGGACGGTTCGTATCTACAGAATCTTCGAAGGCGCCAAGACCGCCGTTCGGAGACCTAGGTTCACATCCACCATCGCGCAGATTGTCATCGTCTGCGCTATCATTGGTCTAATGGTGTGTAAATGCAGCTTGCGAAACGAAAATTTACATGCGTTGTCATGGCAATAGAGTAGTTGATTAGGTAAATGAAATATTAGATGGTAATAGTTTCACGTTTAGATTTACTAGGTAGCAGACGACCTACTTTTGGCAAAAATATTTATCACGTCAGTGGTTTACTGCGCTGCCGCATTGTTCCTAGAAGAACGGAGAATTCCAGAATCAGTTTGATATAAGCTAATAATTTATCCCATTTAATACATACTCTATGAGAGTGACCAGGGCTACCACTTTACTACAATGACACGCGCTAACTTTGTTTAATTCTTTCTAGTAAGTATAATTGCCTCTAGAGGCGCTCTAAACAACACACACACACACGCACGCACATACATAGACACGCACATACCACACACACACACACACACACACACACACACACACACACACACACACACACACACACAGACACAGAAGACACTCACCACTTGTCCGCTTGCAGGAAATGCCTTTGTGCCCCACAAAATCCTTTCCGTGTTGATGAAATGTGTTGTTCTGGGTGAATATGCCATGCTCAAGAAGTGGTTCGATAGCAAGATGTTTCCACCTTAACCATGCACAATTGTGCTGCTACGCAGTGGTTGTATCTAGAGAAGTGCTGATGTAGAGTTTGGAATCTGAAAAACTTCTTTACCAAAACATGAGACTACCAAGGTATTCTTTAATTTCAGTCCAATGGAGGTAGACGAGTGCCAACATTTGACATAAGAGTAATGCCTATTTATGAAAATATCAAGTATAATGATGAATATCATTTTAAAAAAACGAAATATAATGAGAGCTAACCATAAAGGGCTGGTTATAATTTAAAATGATGCCATCAGTCAGGATCTACAATCGAAACTAACTGATCTGGCAGTTAAGCTGTAGTCATTGGTTAGTGACCTTGACCCTTAAGTTTGGCAAAAATAATGTCAAATATCTATGGATTAAGCCTCATTGACTTTCCCCATTGCAAATGTGGACAAGATAGTTGCACTCCTTAAGATCAGGACAGATCTTGATTACTTGAAAGGTGTGTTCAGCCATTCACATATTGTTAATAACAGTGGGCGGTTTAAAATGAGCAGGCAGTCTCAGCTTGAAGAACAAAATTAGGGTAAAAGTAAGCACATGTAATAGCCTTGTTCCTGTTGGCACAAGGCAAGAGTGCTAATAGCCAATATTTAAGATTTCGAGAAGGTGCAAACATTTGTGGACCGTTGACCTCAGTGACGCATTATTATATTTACCTATTATTGAGAAATAAGCTCTTAAAATACCGACATTTGAAGTGGTTCACATGATCATTTAGCTTTAAAAACAAACAGTTCTAGTAGAACGGGTGTTTGTTTTCCCCACTCTAAATTTTTTCGCCAATTTTTGAGTTGACGCTCTCGAAACACAAAAGGTAATATAGAAAATGCTCAAGGTGACGGATGGTCATCCAACTTAGAAAGTGAAAGAACCACACCTATGTCTACAGAAAAATCAGCAAAGAAAAAAAACTTTAACTCTCAGTGCAGGGTATGACCCCATGGCTCCCGACTAATTCCTTGCGTGTGTTATGCTGACCGCAGTAGTTTGACTTCAGCGTGCTTAGAGCTGCTTACATGAATTTGTAAACGATTTCAGCGTTCATCTGTAAATGCTACAATTAGCGTTTCAGTAAACATTGGAAGCTAAATCTGCATGTATCGGTAAGTATTTTCAAGTTCTGTAGCGCTACAAAGCTACTGCAGCAGTGTCATGTGTCCAATTTCTCACCATTCACACTGTAACCTCATATCTCGAATCGTGCAAATAAGCGTTTGCCATACAGCATTGTGACATAGTGTATGTCAGGATCAAAGTGAGCATCTAACATGCAAAATAAGAAATTAAATTGAATGAATAAATAAAAAAAGTGAATTAATGTAATCGGCTGTGTTTGTATAGTAGCATTTAAAAAGACGCCTGATTGCTTTCCAAGGTTTTTTTATAAAACTTTACAAATTTGAATTCCCATATCGTTACTGCAGGCAAAGTATTACATTACACGAAGAAAAATTTCAATTTGTAGTTTGATGTCGGACAGCTTCAGCGCTCTATATACGCGCAAGAATAAGTAGCAGTTTTGTCTCGATAGTAAATTCAGAAACTTCATCCCTGTTGTACGGTGTGAATTAAATGCGATGATCATATGAAAGATATTGCTCGAACGTCTATGAATTCTTACTTTTAATATGTAAGCTTTCCTTATTCATTAATTTGCTATTCGAAAAAACACAACCTAAACGGAAGTAAGTTGTGTTCCAGGGAATTTTTTATTTCAGTTTTTTTAACTGAGCTCTGTTTTCTCCTGCGAGACTCAGCAGCAAGTATGTGCATTCGGTGATGCATGGCTGTATAGTGGCCATTTACCCTGGATAGTTTAAGTTCAAAGATGCAATTTTCTAGACACAATGTTATTGACAATAGTTATAACGTTAAATTTTATGGTAGCGTAAATAACATGCCATCTGCGCTATTTATGCTGATGGCGAAGGGTCAAGGTAGTGAGTTCTATATAAAATCTAGAGAGATTCCGTGGTGAATCCGCACAAGGCTTGTTGGTTGGCTCAGGGTCACATGGAACCTACAGCCTAATCATTTTTCGACGTTATGAACCCGCGCGCGCGGCCTGACAATCCCGCTTCCACCTAAATCTTTCACGGTTTCATACCGGAGAAACCTACCTGTAAAGTATTTCCCATGGAATCCTGGGCAAGTAGTTCGGTGATGTTTCTCTACTAACATGCATTGAAGACGTCCAAAGCAGTACACACTAGATTGCAGCTTCGAGCATTCTGCCATATTCGACTAGCAGAGCCGCAGCAGATATTGACAATGAATTAAATTATTATCATATTTAGGTTATATTTCTCTATGTCTTTATGGACCAGTTCCATCGGCCTGTTACTAAAGCATGCGTGTAAACGTCGTAACGAAACGCATACTATTCTTCTAGACACAGTCACTCGCCGGTACAGCATGGGCGTTGGGTTAAACAGAATCCCATCAAATGATATCTTAGAATAGTTATTCGCTGGTCGCGAGTAAAACATGTGAGTTTTGTAGACATCAATGTTGGCCCGAGACCCGGAAGTCCGCCGGTTAACAGTTAACCTTAGTAAGCGCAGCAAAAATGTACCGCTGATGCAACCAGGCGATTAACTGTTTTGCTTTACAGATAAAATTATTTTGTTAGGGAAGGTCTCCGCGTTTAATAAAACGTAATCTCAATATAAGCATATACTCCAGGTTTCCTAATCATGCCAGATAAGCCTTTGTCACTATTCCTTTCTTTCTAACACATTAGCAATAAATCTGTTGAGATCTGGAATGAAATCTAGATATTCGCATTCGGTCAATAAATATTGCGTAGCTATTAATCAAAGAGCACGAAGTGACGTGTGGCCTACCAGGTGGTACTATATTATATGAGGTAATGACAGAGAATGTGGTAACTCGAAGAAGGGAATTTATGGCCTGTTTTTACTAGTTGAACATACCGCTTATCAGATTTGATAGCCCGTCTTTGTCCATGTACTGACTTGAATCCTCGCTCTAGTCGCACATGGCGTTGATGCCATTGGTGGCACGGAGAGTGTCCTATGCAAGCAGCATCAGCATCGGACCCGCAATTTTGTCGCAGCTACATAACAAAATTGCAAATACGAACGTAGTGCGGTCGGGCGTGTTGTTTATGTGTGGCGTGATCGCCATAATATCCTCACCCGTTCGCAATACTATGGCTTGTGCGTTTCACGAGATACCTAACAAACTGCTGTGAAAGTGTCTAGTGAAGAAACGTTATAGAGTGCTCTAGCACTTGCCGATTTTGACGTGGCAAAGTAACATTTATCTATCTGTCTAACGATCTATCTATCTATCTAGTCTCTACATCTATCTATCTAATCTCCTATCTATTATCTATCTATCTATCTAGCTACTATCTACTATCTACTTCTAATCTATCTATCTATCTAGACTAATGCTATCACTATATAATATATATACCAGCCAAATTCTATGGCGCTTGACCTCCTAGAAACATCTGTCTCGTGTTTTTGGCCATCCGTTTTTGGATGCGTAGCCACCAAAATGATCGCAGAGGTTTATTGTGCAGCGACGCACCACAGGATAATCGTCAGCTGCCAAGTAAGGAATAACTGTTCCGAAGAAATTTCATACTGTTCAATGTCAAATCATATAATTACATCGAAATGCGCGTGGCCTTTTGACGGTTTTAATTCGTATTCTGTCGCTATGGAAAGCAACCCGTGTATGTCGAGCGCACTCTGAATATAACGAGCGGACGTTAAATTCTCCTATATCGATTTAGCTGTTTACTTCATAGGTTGATTAGCGAAAATAATGAGAGTAACCATACGGATATGCCTGTCCAAGATACGTTCGATACATACGGATGCAAGTAGAGTAAAATATCGTACCAACCCATACGCCCATCCATCGCGACTTAGTATGTTCGTTCTTTTTTTGGCGGTTAATTGCCCCTATAAGATTGCTAAACACATCTTCCCGCTATCATCTACTTTAACTCATACGTTTAATAACGGAGACTCTAGCACCTACTCACATCAATTCGTGACACGTACCATTTAGCTCTTATATCATCCTGGAATATTACAATTTAATTTCCTTAACAAAATAAACCAGCTAAAAAAATTCTTTACGATATAAACTGGTCAAGCTCGTTATAAGTGTTGCGTAAGTCGCGGTTATCGCCAGCACTTTGTATCGTTGATTTCGTCACACAGTAATATTCATCAGCCGAACGGCATGCGAATGGTACTCACGTGTCTCGCTCTTTCGCCGCAACCCTAGCCTCTGTAACTGTTGTGTCCGATTGATGTCAATTGGTATCCGAAATGTCTTTTAAGGGGCATGTAATCACTGGTCCCTACCGAGCGTGGAAAGCGTGATAAAGGGTTCCCCGTTGAGGTAGTTTGGGTAGGCACTTGGCGGAATGTTTGTCGTTACGGATT